ATCACAAAACATTTCACAGTGATATTGTCAGAAATCTTAAACACTACATAATAAAACTAAAATCCACATAGCTTAAACTAAAATACATTTGCTTATCATTTAAATAATCGGAAATCTTATAATAATTTTTCTGTAAGGTATTGATTGAAATCATTTTTAAATACTGATAATTTCTTTGAAATTAGTGGGTAGGCTGTTGTAAAGCCTTAATCCCATATAATAAGGAGCTCTTTCATATAAACACAGGTGATATGTCTTGTATATTGAAAATCTTTTGAGCGTGTAGGATACGGATGACTGATTTGTTTATCATTGTACATTTGATAATTAATTTTAAAATTCACCATCATTTTAAATAAAGTGAAGGCAAAGTTATCTCATATTTAGCAAATAAAGCTCTGCATGAGGTTCTTTTAGGCATAAATGATAAAATCCTTATGTCTTCTGAATTTTGACATCTGCTTTGGAATAAGAAGTTGCTCCCCATAATTCAATCCCGTATTGCAAAACAGAAAAGAACATTGCTTAGTATGTGGTGAGTTTAGTTTTTAAATCTATTACATTTCTCAAAACATGCATTTGAAAGCAAGCCGTATTTAATTTACCAAACTACCATTTTTATGTGTGTTTTCCATTTTCTTATCGATATCTAAGCCCAAAAAAATTGCATTTTCAGTAAAGGATATAATATTATTATGAGACGTAGGAATTGGCTAACTCAGGAACTCGCTAACTCGGTCGTGTGTCGGAACTGGCTAACTCTGGAACTGGCTAACCGTCTCAGTCAGGAATTGGCTAACTCCAGAACCCGCTAACTCGATTTTGTCTCGCGGCGGAATTCGCTAACTCTGGAAGTCGCTAACCCGGCCGCGCCCACTGCACGGAGCGTTGCCAACCTTGTACGACAAAATAATCGTACACTGCCGTATTTCAAAATGTCAGTGTCAATGAAGATACAGTAAATGTTATTGTTTTTTGTTATCAATTCCACTTTTAACAGATAACTAGCCCAAAGTAATTCAAATACAATAAAAAATCAAGAAAAAGTGTTTTTCTTTATTTAACTGTACAATGGCCAGTTAAATGTTTATGATTTCGATCTTAAATATAAATGCCATCAAGAAAATAATAGAATATGAAAAATATTGAAAATTCAGTTTAATTGGTACTCAATAATTAAACCTCTACGAAATTAAGCTAAAATACACGCAAGTTCTCAAACACGGAAAACAGCTTTAATCGTAATGGCGTAATAAACCAAAACCATTAATTAATACAGTCATCAACCATCGTAACTTTCATAACTAATTCATAGATTTAAAATTAAATGTTCGTCGTTGAACCGTCCAACTTACGTGTACAAATATGATGACATAGACTAAGTTTTTATCCAGGCCTAATAGTTTCAACCAAAGCATTGTTTGCCTACTAGTAAATAGTTGCCTAGTTCTAAAATGTGTTGAATTTTTTTAGCAATAATGTTACATGTTTCAACCCCGTTTTTAGATTGTACACCTAAGCACCACTAGTAAAAAATAGGAGAAGATATAATATTTATATAATAAAACGTGACAGGGTTATTTTAATTCACGATTCTTAATAAACGAATTGACGGATTTTCCAGATTTGAGTGTTGGGTTTCCTTTATATTGCTTTCACAATCGATATAAACTACAGTATACCAAGCCATTGCTCGGTTCACCGTTCCCCGGTACTAAGCCTCACAATAGACAATAGCTTTGTTTTGGATAAGATCAAATATTTTAACTATAGCCACCATTCATAAGAATTGTAACAAACAAGAACGCCTGGGTCCATTTAGAACCATCCTGGAGAAAAACTCCAGACTTTAAAAAAGTAGGCCTACTGAAAGACGTAAAATTAATATTAATTCAAAACAATTAAGAGGATGACCCGGGTTCTACACTAATAGCCTACGATAAAAGAAATTTACAAGTTGTATTTATGCATGGACTAATTTTTAATGCAATCCATGAATACATTAGGCCTACTACTTTATAATGTATCGATACATTTTATTTAAATTCAATAGCTCTATTTAAAAATACATTACCACTACAATGTAATTCTGTTATGACGTTTAGCGTGTAAATTGTATTATGATTTATGATTCAAGGTTACAAGCCCAGTATATAAAATACGAACTCAATAATTTTATTTGCAGAAGTTCACAAAATGGTATTTATTCGAATAAAAGAAACAAATGGCGGACTACGAAAATAGACATTTCATAACATGTAATAGATCCATATTAAATGTGCATTTTTATCTTTTTGCATACCAATAAGCTACAATCATGTTTTATCTATGCTACAATTTAAGTAAGAAACCCACGTATAAAACATACTCCCTTATATTAGTACATTTTTCATCCTTATGGATCAGCTGAAGACAGTTTTATTGTTAGTTCTGTCCGGTGCACTGTCTTTAGAGGTCGTGTTTTGTTTACAATTGTTTCTTGTTTTCAGTAATTTAAAACCTCGTTTAGCCAAATAAAACGTTCTAATCACAACTAATAACACGTCCCCTAGTTATATAACCAAACAGTAAAGAACAAATCATGAAGTTAACTATAAAATAAATGAAACACAATTTTGTTGACACTAGCGATCAGTGTCACCGGACATGAACTAGACACGAAAAACGAGCTTCAAAGTTTACAATGGGATGTAAAGTTTACTTGTGTTGGTTAGTCTATGGTAAGACTATAATGCATTTTCCACCCTAATAATCATAAGAACAATGTTAAACATACTTATAAATATATTGATTTTATTGTGTACGTTGCTCTTACTCCTAATTAATCGTAGGATACGACATTATAGTACCGATACGATATAGGTACTACACTTTCGGCAACACTGGCCAAAAATATTCGTGCTTGGCTCCCATTGGACGGCCCGCGAGGCTTCTGATTGGGAGTTAGCGAGTTCCGCCTAGGGACCGAGTTAGCGACTTCCGTACGAGGACGGAATTCGCTAACCCGGCTCTAGAGCGGGTTAGCGGTTTCCGGAGTTAGCCAATTCCGAAACCGAACAAGTTAGCGAGTTCCTCTCATCGACCAAATTTGAAGATAGGGCGTTTAACATGGGGTTAGCGAGTTCCAGAGTTAGCCAATTCCGCGGACCCATTATTATCATAAGATAGTTCAACAGTGGAGTTTTGCCTGTTTTGAATTGTTTGAAATAACATCACCTGTGTTTTAGAATTATTAAGTTTTAGCCCATTGGCTGTAAACCAATTGGATAAATTAAGAATAGAAAGACTGATTTGTTTTTTTAAGTCAGCATATAAGATATGGTTAGATGATACATTTCGAGGTGTCATTAATAAATATTAAAAATAGCAAGGGGCCTAGTATTGACCCTTGCGGAACCCCACATTTAGTGTTAAGCCACTGTGAAATACATTTTTTACGATTATTGTTCTTTGACGTCTGTTAGTCAAATATGTATGCATCCAAGACAGAGCCATATCAGAAAATTCATAATATTTAAGTTTACTCATTAATATATTGTAATCTGCACAATCGAATGCCTTGGTTCGATCACAGAACACCGCAGCTGTGCTCTGAGACCCATCCAAGCCATCAGAAACCTGATTTATGAAATCTGAGACAGCAGACATAGTGACCCAGATCTAAAATCATATTGTTTATTGGTAAATAAATCATTATTCTCAAAATATGAATAGATTAGGTTGTAAGCAATTTTTTCAAAGATTTTAGACAAAGATGGGAGTATTGAAATAGGACGATAGTTAACTGGGTCCAACCATACATTGCAAAATGCTTAATTTCCCTTCATCTTCAACCCAAGTTATGTACTGAACCACTGATTCTAAACATAGAAAATATATATATATATATATATATACTAGCTGTTCCCGCGGGCTTTGCCCCGTTTAACTTCATAAGTATTCGCATAGCTCAATCACGTCCTGATTGAAGTTCGTTCGCTACGCTCACTCACCTTTAGGTTAAAGCTCGTTCGCTGCGCTCACTTGCTTTCAGGTTAGCTCGTTCGCTACCCTAACTCACCTCCAGGTTGAAGTTCGTTCACTACGCTCACTCACCTTTTGGTTGCAAATTAGCTGTTATCATAAATACAAAAAAATAATAGTGCTGCACCTTGTTGGTAATCCCTGTAACTTTAATGCTGTTGAACATCATAGAACAGAACCAACTTGTTTAATTGAAACAGATGTTAAGATTCATTAATTCCTTTTAAATATGAAAAATCATAAGGTTAACATGGGAAACTCCAGAGCCACTGGGGCGGAGCCCGAAAGCCCGATCAGAATAAAAACTACTTAGTTTTCCTATTTAATGCCCAAAGAATCGGTGTACCGAATTTCAGACTCCTAGGTAAATGGGAAGTGGGAGAATTAGTGATGAGTGAGTGAGGGCTTTGCCTTTTATGTATATAGATTTTACACATCTAACTATTGGCTACAACTTTGCCACAGACAAAACCTCTCTAACAAAAAAAAATCCTCGAATGCTAACTTTTGCATGTTACAAATCACGATTTAAAACTATTTCACCATACATACAACATACAGTTTTACATACAACTTTTATTACGACTTAAAGGTCGATAATTAGATTTAAATTCCAACCAAACAGTCATAAAGTAGTACTAACCAAGAAGCTCTGTGCCAATTTTCAAAACTTTAGCACAACTTAAAGTACGCCAAAACACAAAGTTATTGAAGTCATGCGTCAAGAGGACTATTGTTGTTTTGAACAGAATTTGAACCTAGCGGTATTGTTGACTCATTGAAACAGCGAAATAGATCGTTTGATCAAATATTCGTCATCGTAGGAGCTGTTCACTAGGTCAAAATCTCATTAGGTCAAACTCATGTATACTAAGGCTACAGCAAAATATATTGTTTTTTATCTAATGGTACAAGAATAAATTATTTGACCTTCCGACGCTGTTGACTTTCTGCAACACATCCATTAAAAACAGGGATTATTAATGAAAACAGTGTTGATTACATTTATTGATTGATGTAAGCTAGTTTGAAACAAAGGTAAAATTCATAGTCATAAAGTATATATTAAGTACATAAAAAATCCTGTTTAAAAGCTTTATAACAATTTCTAAGACTAATTAACAAAGAACAAATATAACATCACAATCAATAACACTATTACACATCTAAAAAAAAAACAAAAAAACAAAGTAATCAGCATCGTTATGTGCAATTTGACTTTCCCTTCAAGAAGCACCATAAAAACGGCACCATTCTTGGAAAACATTACAAGATATTAAGAAAATACATGAAGAATGTATTTGCTCTATTAGTACTAAGAATGGCTATAAATCTATAATACAGGGTGTTTTTCAAACACGACCAAATTAAAAGTACTGTAGGACACTAGGACGTTACAAGCTCATATGTTGGTATCCCTGTTTTCATTAGGTACTTTATTGCCAATCAGCTGTGTATTATTACATAGTAGTGTTATTGGTAATTCATTGTTTATGTTAATAAGACACTGGTGGGAGTTTCACAAGCTCAAAGAGTATGTTTGAAATTAACTTTCCAGTACGTCAGATATCAACTTTTATAGAATTACTAGCTGTAACCCGCGGGCTTTGCCCCGTTTAACTTCTTAATTTTCAAGATTATCTCGTTCGCATGGCTCAATCACGTCCTGGTTGAAGTTTGTTCGCTACGCTCACTCACCTTTTGGTTGCAAATTAGCTGTTGTCATAAATGTAAAAGAAATAATAGTGCTGCACCCTGTTGGTAATCCTTGTAACTTTAATGCTATTGAACATCATAGAACAGAACCAACTTGTTTAATTGAAACAGCTGTTAAGATTCAATAATTCCATTTCTCATAAGGTTAACATGGTAAACTCCAGAGCCACTGGGGCGGAGCCCGAAAGGATTTTTGAAATAAGAATATGCCTATATGTTAATCGGGAATGTGAGCTATCATCATGCCAAATTTCAGCCCAATCCGACCAGTATTTTTCGAGTTTACTTTTCCCATACACACATACAGCAACCACCTCTTTTTTATAATAGTATAGATAGATAAAAAATTAAAGGAAATCTGATCTTTAGAAAACCAAAACAGCCCCGCTGCAGCAAACTTGAAGTCTAAGAGAATTTCCATTTGCCTGATTATGTTTTCAATAAATTATCTCCTCAAATGGGAAGGTAATAAATAGTGTTTTTTTAGTGAAATGTTAATAAATGAATATGAAATGAACAAATTTTCTGTATTTGATCAACATAATGTTCATAAACAAGCAAACTACAACAGTTTACTTATATAGGCTACCATAAGAATAACATTGGAATTATAAGTTAACAAATTTTTTCCATAACCATTAAGCGCATAAGAACGCTACTAAATTATTTGACTTTTAAGCTCTACAAAAATGGTTTGGAAATAAATTACAAAATTATTTGTTTTTAGAGTAAAAAAATTGAAAAACCAAATAATTTTTACCCCATAAAACCCTATATTTAAATCCCTGTTCCCATAGTCCGATCATGTTGGTTCGCAAAATCGTTTGAATTAACGTAGGTTTACTTGTTAGTACAAAATTTCATAAAAATGTTATCATTTTTATTAAAGGACACACTAATGTATGAATATTGAATAGGGTGTCCCACGTAAGGTGTCTCAAATTGATTACGGAAGAACGGCTTAATGTACAAGGATGGAATAAAAATTTCCCACTAAATCAACCCCAGGGAATAACGTAAAAATATTTTAACTTTTCCCGATAGAGGGTGTTCCAAAAATTGTTCCAATGCACTTAGGCCTTCTCCGGTTGAACTTTCTTACTTGTTATGAAATTAGCTTTACTTTGATATGCTACAAGTAACGTTTTTTTTAATTTATAAAAATTCCCCAAAAAAATGATTTTTGAACATTTGTAAATTCTCATTGTTCAAAATTTTCAACCGGAGAAGGGCTAAGTGCATTGGTATAGGAAACACTGAATATTAAAAACATAATGATTTTTTCAAAATAAACTACCGCCATTTCAAAATGGAAAAAGATAATTCATTTCTGTTTTCGCCAAAATATTTGCCTATTAAATACCTTTAAAATGATTCATAACATGACATATGTTGACATTTGAAAATTCAAACTAGTGACCCTCAGTTTTTGGAACACCCTGTATCGGGGAAAAAATATTTTTACGTTATTCCTTGGGGTTGATTTAGCGGGAAATAGTTTTATTTCATCCTTGTACGCTAAGCCGTTCTTCCGTAATCAATTTGAGACACCTTCCATGGGAGTTAATATACTCAGTTAATACATATTCAGTTAAATATACTGAGCGTGTTAACTTCGCTAGTAGGTTCTTCTCACTAAAAGGAACCAAAAAGTTCCTGTAAACCCATGTCTAATTTTTTTCCGATTGGCTGTAATACGGAGGTTTGTGTTTTTCTTATTTTATTAGACTTTGCCCCACAATTTATACAATAAAAGAAAAACCAATTACTTTAGAGAGTTATAGTTAAAACAATTGGAAAGAATATTAAATTATTAATCAAAGGTTTCATGTACAATTATACCATTAAATAGTCCGCTTCTTATCCAAAATAAAGTAAAAATTATATTAAATTAGTTAACTACGTAAACTTTTATGATCCCACTTTAATACATAAACCTACATCCATGCAATGTTCAAATGCATGAAAAACTTGGCCATTTAATAATCTTTCAAATTATATGCTATTCAATACTATTATTGATAGAAACCACTGAGAAATTACTAACGAACTGCAATAAAACACGGTCCAAAGATTTTTTTTTCAGAGTTTTTACTGTTAATAATATTTACTGTATACTCCATATTGTATTTCATTGACCAATCTGATACAATTTGTACATTATTTGAATAAAAAAAATATTATGATTAATTAAATTCATAAAATGTATAAACTCAAGTTATGTTGCATTTATAAAGACTAGTGTACCTGTTGCTCGAATTCGAGCAATTGCAAAGCATTACAGGTGACTCAAAGATTATGGAAATACTCACGATCTACACAACAGTTAGATATAATCAAAATCTTTTGTAAATATCTTATCTTTTTTCAAAAAGCTGATCTAGTTTTTTCTAGTGATTTTAGTGTAAAAAACATTATTTCTATTTCTTCTACTTGGTTGTGTTCTATGACTTTTTCTATGTTTCCATTGTTTGCAAATCGGTTATTTCAATGATTGCTCAAAAAATGTATCACAGTGTTAATTCAGTTTTATTTTTAGCCTATATCAAATTGTCCAGGATTTCTCGCTCTTTTCCATTGTAATAATTACACCAACCCAAGTTTTGTCTACAGATGCAATATGCCAAAGAATATCACCTACGTACAATCTCCAAGAAGTGGTAAAAACGGCAGAAACCAACCAATACAATAGATATAAGTTAACTCCATAAGAAATAATTTCAAAAGTTACTGTGATATTCCACTGATTTGGTAATAGAACATTATATTGCAAAACATGACACGATGCAGAAGAAAATCAATTTTAAAATAAAAATCCATTGCAAATACTGTACTTCATTTTGACAAATTCAATAAATCACAACTTAAATATTAACAGTTGTTGCATTAGAAAGTAGTGTAGAATTATACATATGGTCGTAATGTAAACAAATCTGAAGAGGCAACTTTAAAGGCTTCTGGGGCAGAGCCCCAAGGGTATTTACCTCTTTCCTCTTTTGATGGCTCATCTACAGACCAAGACCTTTCTTTAGAGACCCCTACCAAGTTTCTACGCTCAACCGTTCTTTCAAATTAGCTGTGACAAAAACCCCGTTTTCCTCCATAAGAATAACATGGGATGGGAATTTAAAGGCCACGGGGGCAGAGCCCCAAGGGTATTCACCATGTTTCTCTTTTGATGGCTCATCTACAGACCAAGACCTTTCTTTAGACACCCCTACCGAGTTTCTACGCCCAGCCGTTCTCTCAAAATTGCTGTGACAAAGAAAAACAGTTTCAAATTAATATATAGATGTAGTTTGTTTGATTCATAAATGCTGTTTAATTATATTTCCTTTTACTTGTTTTAAGTCAGCAGTTATTGATTTGTCATTTACCAGCTAAATAACTCAGCTGTTTGAACATACATTGTTGAGTAATTTGTTTTCATTTTGTGTTTCCAAGTCAATTAGGAGTTTTTAAACATTGATTATAATATGGAACCTTTTACCAATCAAGAGTACGCTGATATACACTTTGTATATGGTTACTGTTCCGGCAATGTGGCGGAAAGCCGTTGTGAGCATAGTAGACGGTTTCCTAACAGACGATTACCCAATGCAAGTACTTTTATCGTGTTCATCGATGTTTGACCGAAAAGGGAATCTTTCCTAGCAAATTTATATTGACTGTTAATAAAACAATAGATATAAAACATGCTAGTTTCATACATTTTTAAGGTATTTACATTTTTTTATCTTTCTTTTTTAAATTCTATATTTAAATTTTTTAATAACAACACTGTACCTAGTACATATTTTGATTTTAAATACTGTTATTTTAGGAGTATTAAATTAGGGTATAGGAGTTTTGTTAGGGTTTTATTAACCTTACATCAATCGAGACTAGTTTTATTATAGATAATGGCCTACGGTATTGAAATATTTTATGTATTGCTTTTATTTATTTTCATTACAACATGGAATTTAAACTATTCAATTACAACAAATAATTTATGAATAATTAGATTAATTGCAAATAAGTTTAACAAAAATTAATTTAAACTACTTTTATTGTTATGGAATTCATATAAGCTATTTTAGAAAATATGACATCTGTAAATTCTTTAGTAAGAACGCTGCCAAAGCTAAATATGTAGACCGTGTTTTATTGCAGTCTACTAGTAATTTCTCATTGGTTACTACTATCAATAATAGTATTGAATAGCATATCATTTGAAAGGATTATTAAATGGCCCAAGTTTTTTATGCATTTAAACATTGCATAGATGTAGGTTTATGTATTAAAGTGGGGTCATATAAATTTACATAATTAATTAATTTAGTGTAATTTTACTTTATTTTGGATACAAAGCGGACTATGTAATGGTATAATTGTTGCATGAAACCTTTGATTTATAGCAAATTTAAAATTCTTTCCAATGGTTTTAACTATAACTCTCTTAAGTATTTTGTTTTGTTTTTATTGCATAAATTGTGGAGCAAAGTCTAATGAAATAAGAAAAACACAAAACTCCCTATTACGAGCCAAACGGAAAAAAATCTGACATGGGTTTATAGGAACTTTTTTGTTCCTTTTAGTGAGTAGAACCTACTAGCGAAGTAAACACGCTCAGTAGAAACTCACCCTATGACATATGAATCATATGAATCATATCATGTCACATATGTGACATATGAATTTGAATGGGTCTGTTTTTGGCCCCTGGGGACCTCAAAAACAAAAAAGTAAATTGGTCCAGAGTCTAAGTCTTACCAATATGAGACCTACGGTAATAGCTTATTCCCTATATGGGAAATTTGCTAAATTGAGATAGTGTGTGTGTCTGCTACTCAATAACACAAGAACCACCGATCCGATTTAAATAAAACTTTGTATGAAGGTATCTTATATACCTGGTTAACATATAGGCCTATTCCTGTTCTTATATTGGCTACTTCCAAAGTAAAAACAATAATGTGGGAGCCTACTGCATATAAATAATGGGCAGAAATAGTTAAATATAAAACAAAATTTCAACACATTAGACTAATACCCCCGCAGCAGCAAACCTGCAGACTAAGCGAATTTCCATTTGCCTGATTGGATTTACACTAAAATGTCTACTTAAAAATATAACATTTATTCCCTATTTGAATAGAATTAGTTTAACAAGTACTTAGGTTTGCAGCATCAGGGAGGGTAAAACTGTTTTTTTTTTGTAAAATGTTAATAGTTAAGTACCTAATAAAAACATTTTGCAAATTGATCAAAATATGTTCACTTCAAACAAGCAAACTACAACAGTTTACTTATCTTAATAATATTATAAATGTGAAAGTTTGTGTGTTTGTTTGTTTGAAGTTCTATCACGCATTAACTACTGGGCGGATTTGGCTGAAATTTGGCATGATAATAGCTCACATTACCGATTAACATATAGGTATATTCTTATCACAAAAATCCTTTCAGGCTCCGCCCCAGTGGCTCTGTAGTTCCCCATGTTAACCTTATGAGTATTCATATTTAAAGGTAATTAAAGGATTTGTCAGCTGTTTCAACTAAAAAAGTTGGTTCTATGATCTGCAAAAACATTAATAAGTTATAAGATTTACCAACAGGGTGCAGCACTATTATTTTTTTCATTTATGAAAACAGCTAATTTGATCTTAAGAGTACCAAAAAACTGTGAGATGCAATGAGAACTGTAAAAGTAGGATTTTTGGTACTTTCCTGTTATCTGGTACCTGCGAAAAAATTCTTTAACTTTAACCACAAGTACAACTTCGTCGATCCAGAGTCCGGAGCACATACTACCGTTTAGGTTAGGTTAGGTTTGTTTACTTACAATACTCATGTTATTGATAAACTAACCTAACCAAAGTACAACCAGGTACCAGATAACAGGCAAGAATTTTTTCGCAGGTACCAGATAACAGGAAAGTACCGTACAGTTATGTTTATATTTTTAATTTCATGAATCATTTGTGATATTTTGCAAATTTTTAATAATTAATAAAAATAAATTTATTTTTCTCCATTGTTTAGGTGATTGTTTAGGTTTGTTAAATTAAGTTACGGCTATGGTAGATGTGTAATACTATAGTATACAGTAAATTTAAAGAATACAATTTTATCAAACTGTGTCCTCCCTTATTGCAAACGCAAAGCTTGAGTACAACTGCAATAAGTATTTTATACTTATATACCAACCCCGTACGAAGGACGGGTACTCTGCTAGTTCTTCATAAGAATAACATGGGAATTTTAATGGTCCCCCCCTTAAAGTTTTGTGCGTAGCATCTGGTCGACGTGTCGCCTCCAAGTTTGACCATCATCCATTCTAACGTAATAATGAAGATTACCATCTTTAATTTCAACTGTTCCCAAGGCCCACTTGTCTCTTCCTGAATAATTTCTGACTTGTACATTTACAATTTTTTGGTATTTTCTCCGCAACCATTAGCACAGAAAACATACTACTATAACCCAGGATGCCAACCGCATAGTAAAAAGCGTACTTTGAGAGAGCTTTGCCTGTCAATTCGTAGGCAGCGCCACTAGCGTTGCTATGCTGAGTGCATAGTTCATATGAGTATATATATGAATTTGAACGGATGGTGTTTTTGGCCTCTAGGGACCTCAAAATGAAAAAAAAAAAAAATCGGTCCCGCGTCCAGGTCTTACCATGAGTACTACGGTAATAGCTTATTCCCTATATAGAAAATTCGCTAAAAAAAACACAATTTATAATTTTTTTTAGGTATTTTTCTTGCACAATGAAGTTATGTTAGCGGAAGCCTATTGTGTAGGCGGCACGGTCGGACTAAGCGTGGAGTCGGACCATCGGAGATCGGATTATCAAGGTTCTACTGTAGCTTATTTCCTATATGGGAATTTTGCATAAAGGTACATATACTCTATTTGAGCTTGTGAAAATATCACATTGAGTCTTATTTACAATAAATTACCAATAACACTAAACGTCATAGATATCTGTGCAATAATGCAGATCGGCATTGAAGTAACGTAAACAGGAATACAAACATATAATCTGGTTTTTTGGTTAAAATGTGTCTCAAAACAGTAACTATTTGAGTTGTATAAAAAAAAAACACCCTGTACAGTATAAAGCATGATAACATTTTATATTATTACAATATAATTACATTGCTCATACCTAATTGACCCAGTCATAGCCAAATTATACAAGTTTTAGAGCTGAAATAAAATATGTAGTGGGCTTAAAATAAAAGAACAGATTTATATGGCATTGGATAGAGATAGAGCAAAGCATGAAGTTTCATTAACGTATCGGCTGATTGCCTGTTATTATTTTCAAAATTTGATATGTTTACTGTAATGAAATGTAATTAACACTAATTTATTTTTCATAACACCAACAGTATTGTCTTGAATTGCTAGTTTGATAAATTGAGTGTCTAAAACTAATTACAATAATGTACAAAGAAAAAAACACAATTTATAAATACAATTTACAGAAAAACACTTTTACAGCAAATAACAAGAAGAGGCAATAAGAGAAAACATGACTAGCCAACTTGGAGAACTGTAATATTGGTGTTTGTATCATGAGTTCAAAAATTTGATGCATACAACTCTTCACCTACACTTTGTTATGGTAGAAGTACAAACCACTTCCTTACTTGAGTAGTATTTTTAATACCAAAATTACAAATAAAACAGACCTAACTCATTTGGAAGACAGACAACAGTACATAATTAATATTGTGATTCAGAGTTGTCCTCCAAAAATCTTGAAAAAAAAAACAATACATATTTTCAATTTTATTAAATATTTTTAATAAAGATTAAGCTTGTAAGTTGGCATCCAGTTGTCACTAAAACAAGTCTATTAAATTAAATAAACTATTGCCACAACGATAAGTTGCTGCAACTTACATAAACAGTAAGTAAATAATAAAAAACAAAGTTTACTTGACTTAATCTAGAGTTTCAGTACAAACTTTTCAATTGAATTAAGTCTCACTCAAATGTAAATGTGATGTATCTATGTTAAAGATTGGTCCTGTTTTATAACTATGCAATTTAAAACAATATCTCCAAACATTAAATTTAACTAAAAATCTATTTGACAGTTAATTTCTTTAAGAAATCACAACACTGATTTATGTATATGATATTCAGTTTCATCCCGTCTGTACCGTGGTAAATATCATTATCGCCTACTACGGTATATCAAAAGTGAACTCATAATTATTGTGCTAACTCTAACTGCTGTTTGGAAATTTCAATAAAGCACTTTCAGCTATAAGTCTTCTATTCTACATCGCATATTTTAAACTTCAAAGGCAATACCAACACAGCAGGCAGTACATGGACAGACTGTTAAATGTTGTATAATAATATGGAACTAATGTGCATAGAATAATGACACCTAAATACTGTACTGCATGTTTGTAAACAATATGGCGAGACTTAAATAACATTAAATAAATATTGAAACAAGTATTTTGTACAATTTGATTTACTCTTCTGTGTTAGGAGTTTCTTTATCCTTATTTTTTTTATCTTTGTCGTCTTTGTTGTTCATAAATAGCAAAGGTATCATCCCTAACAAACATCCAATTGTCACTCCAATTCCGCGTCCCTGTAAAAAGAAAAAAATATCATGAACATATTTGCAAATGGAATTGTTGACTCAACTCATAAAAGAGAGATAACAGATAACCTCATTTGGAATATGAGTAGCTTAGCCATCAACAATGGATTTGGGAGGAATAATGCGGAAAACAATTTAAAATCTCGTGTCATTGTTGATAGCTTAGAGTAGTTTTAGTGGGCACAACTCCCACACAATTTGGTAAACAGCGCAATGAAATCGTAACTATCTCCTATGATCATCATCGCTTGATGTAATAGTGTGACATCTCGCACGATCACGGCGAAAGTGTAAACATCTACCATGGTCATGTAGACATCCCCATTGATTCCTGTGTTTGCAGAACCATCTCCCACAATCAAGGAGATGTCATCTTTGTTTCGCACAACGGGTTATCTAGTCAACATTAATGTGCTTAAATTGGACTGTGGCACTTCTCGTCTACATGATGCACTTTAAGTGGCTGGCTGTCGCTGTACAGTTTGTACAGGTTTAGCTTGCCTGATCTAGCCAACAACATGTTCAATGAAGATGTGCTTAGATTACCCCTATCAGATCATGATGTGACAATTAAATATCTTTGGCGGTGGTGAAACTAATCTTAAAAAATCTGATTAGACTAATTTAATTGTAAGACCAATAACCTACAGTAAAATGGTACTTTTTAAAGAACAGTTAGTCCTTGTAAATTGGGAACAACATCTACTGGGTAAGTAAGCTAGCTACATGCCATATATATTTTTTAACATCATACTAAACTAGTGTACCTGTTGCTCGAATTCGAGCAATTGCATTAGAGGCGACTCAAAGATTATGGAAATACTCACAATCTACACAACAGTTAGATATAATCAAAATCTTTTGTAAATATATTTTTTTTCAAAAAGCTGATCTTGTTTTTTTTAGTGGTTTCTACAAATTTTTCCCTCTCATAGCCGCTTTAGGTTGTCTATGATAACGATTATAAATTAAAAGAAAACTTTATTTCTATTTCTTCTACTTGGTTGTGTTCTATGACTTTTTCTATGTTTCCATTGTTTGCAAATCGGTTATTTCAATGATTGCTCAAGAAATGTAGAACAGTCTTAATTCAGTTTTATGCCTATATCAAATTGTCCAGGATTTCTCACTCTTTTCCATTCCATACACCAACCCAAGTTTCGTCTACAGATGCAATATGCCAACGAATTATCACCTATGTACAATTTCCAAGAAGTGGTAAAAAAGGCAGAAACCAACCCATACAATAGATATAAGTTAACTCCATAAAAGAAAAGAGTTACTGTGATAATAGGATTTTCCACTGATTTGGTAATAGAAAATTATAATGCAAAACATGACACGATGCAGAAGAAAGTCCATTTTAAAATCAGAAAAACCCATTGAAAATACTGTACTTCATTTTGACAAATTCAATAAATCATAATTTAAATATTAACAGCTGTCTCATTAAAAAGTAGAATTATGCATATGGTCGTAATGTAAACAAATCTGAAGAGGCAACTTTAAAGGCTTCTGGGGCAGAGTCCCAAGGGAATTGACCTAGTTCCTCTTTTAATGGCTCATCTACAGACCTAGACCTTTCTTTAGAGACCCCTACCAAGTTTCTATGCCCAGCCGTTCTCTCAAATTAGCTGTGACAAAAACCCCGTTTTCCTCCATAAGAATAACATGGGATGGGAATTCAAAGGCCACTGGGGCAGAGCCCCAAGGGAATTCACCATGTTTCTCTTTTGATGGCTTATCTACAGACCAAGACCTTTCTTTAGACACCTCTACCGAGTTTCTACGCCTAGCCGTTCTCTCAAAATAGCTGTGACAAAGAAAAACAGTTTCAAATTAATATATAGATATTAATCACACCAAAACCCCTTTAAGACAAACTAGCCTATGGTACTGCAAGAAATAAATACAAGCAAGCTATCCTGGATGCAAGTTGTCTCAATTTAAAATAATAAAATATGTTAAAATGCACGTCTTCTTGAAGTAGCCTATCTTATTTTCCTTGGCTAAGCTAATATAAGTAACCTTAATCAATAGCAATGCAGTTTTTTTATTATATAAAGATTAAATAAAAATAACATGCTCCTTTATTTATAAGGATAGCGATAAGCACACATAAGTTATATGTGTTATTAAATGAATTTTTAACAGGTATCAGTGTCGAGTGCGGAATCGAGAATCAAAACCAAAGTGGTAGAATCGGAATCGGTATCAGAATCGACCAATTCAGGAATCAGCTCATCACTACTTTTAACACTTGCTCGCTCTCATTTCCACCTAATTTGGACATGCCAAATCCAATAAAATTATTTTCAATTTTGAAAAATGCACCAAAAGGGCCCAATTTGGGGGGTTGGGGTGTTTTTTGAGAAATTTTCAAATGTAAACATGGGTTGTGTGATACATCAAATTATAGGTCTAATAACCCCTATCATTCTGGTGCAAAAATTAATTATCTTTAATCGTATTTACTGAGTGGGTCAAAACGTTTTAAAAAAGGACTTTGAAGTTAGTTAACGCATTACCCTAACTACTGAACGGAACAGCGCCAAATTTTTTTTCAACCTTATTCTTGAGCTACTCTTTAAAATAACTTGTAGTAAGGGCATTTTCCGTGTTATTTACCAATTTAAAAAAAATCTCAAATTTGAAGAATAAAAGAAAGCTGAAAACTCAAAATTCTTAAATAGCAAGGTATAACAAATTTCATATAATTTGAAAGGTCCTTTTTAAACAAACATTTTATGTGTTAAAGTTTTCTTTCTATCTCTTACTGTTTAAACATTGCAGTAGAAAAACACAGTTTTCTATGTTAAAATAATAACAAGTTAAAAAAAAAAAAAAAAACAGCCAAAAACTTGTCTCTATACACATTTGCTGGTGCTTTAAAGGAAGGGAATAATTCATAATTATTGATACACAGATAGACAAACAAGTTATCACGTTTTACTTTGTGAAAAGAAAGTCTTATAGCTGATGAGAAAACCCCAAACGTGGGCTGCGTTCTGTAGTACCATTGACTAGTCAATGGTAGTACTAATTTCAAAATCACTACTTTCTGTAGTACCTAATCGAATATGGTGTAAGCTAAAAAAATAGACTTTATTTTTATTCATAGGGCACAGCATAAGTGTTCCAGGATAACTGCAAATGTGTTTAACAATGAATATCCAGGTAAGAACTTAAGTCATACGGCTGTAAATCAGGGGTGCCCACAAGGGAAGGCTGTGACGCAGACTGTGTCATTGAAATTCTTGGGGGGGGGGGGGGGGGGGATGCAAAAAATTCAGGATGGCTTAAGTTGTCGCAACAGTGTTTGTTGGTGAAATTAAAGTTAATGAAAGAATAAATTGTTATAAACTCTTTTATTTTCTTACAAACACAACACAACACTGAATTATATTTTACATATGCAGTTCTTTACTAAATATAATTCAGTGTTGTGTTGTGTTTGTAAGGAAATAAAAGAGTGTATAACAATTTATTCTTTCATTAACTTTAATTTCACCAACAATGATTTAAAAATAAAAGTAATTGAGGAGAGTGAAGCTAGGTCAAAAGACACTTGAACGAATAATGAAGATACATTGTATTGCAAAACAAAGCAGTTCAACTCCAAGAAAGGTATTCACAACACTTATAGTCATAAGAAACAAGATGAGAACAACACTACAAAAGTAGGTTTCAAAGTTAAATGTTTTAGATGTGGAAAAATAGGACACAAAGCCAACAACTGTAGATCCAAACAAATGGGAAATAGTTTTAAAGCTGAGGCTGAATGTTTCTATTCAAATTTGAACATTTTAGGTTCTACTTCATCTGATTGGTGTATTGATAGTGGATGTACATCGCACATGTGTAGAGAGAAATCACAGTTCAGAGATATAAAAAATTCAAACGGAATTTTGAAACTTGCTTCTAAAGGAAAGACATCTGATGTTTCTGGAACAGGAACGGTTTCGCTGGAATTAAAAAATTCTGAAATCATACATTTGAATAACACTCTGTTTGTACCAGACTTGGCAACAAATCTAATGAGTGTCAGTAAAATAACAGATAAAGGATTTTAAGTGATTTTTGAAAAAGAGAAAGCTGTCGTCCAAAACAAAAGAGGAAATGTAATTGTGGCAGCAGAACGTCAGGGTGGTCTTTATTATGTCAAAAGTACAAAATCTATAATGGTAAATGAAATATCAAACTATACAAAAGAACCTGAGATCATAGATTGGCATAAGAAGTTAGGTCATCTAAACGAGGTTGACTTAAAAACAGCTTTAAAAAATGAATCTTTGAATGGATTAACCTTCAACATGAAAGACAAAATTGGAGAATGTGAAACGTGTATTATTAAAGGAAAATTGACACAAACACCATTTCAATCAAGAAAGATTGCAAATAATGTACGCTTGTTAGAAGTCATACATTCTGACATTGTAGGTCCTATGAAAGTAACTACACCTGGACGAAATAAGTATTTTGGAACATTCATTGATGAACATTCAAGATACTGCTATGTATATTTTTTGAAAAGTAATGACAAAATTTTTGAACGTTTCAAAGAATATAATAAATATGAGGTGGAAAATCAAACATGAAATAAAATCAAGTTTCTGCAAACAGATAACGGCAAAGAATATTGTAATGGTGAATTTGACAAGTTCTTGAAAGAAAGTGGTATAAGGCGAAGACTAACAGTTCCATACACGCCGCAACAAAATGGTTTGGCTGAAAGAAAAAATAGAACATTATTGGATATGGCAAGATGTTTATTGATAGAATCAAATCTACCAGGATGTATGTGGGCTGTTAAAGCTATTAACACATCTAACCAGGGGTGCCCATCCCCCCAAAGCTCACGTCGCAGAATCCCCCCCAAATTCGTTGTTTAACCCATGCCGGAAGGTCTGGGGAGTGGGGGCTAACCCATAGTTATGTTTATAATGCGGGGAGGGAAGGGGTGCCCCCGACACTTCTTTAAATTTATG